TTTTTCCCCTGCAAGTGAGAAGGCCCCAGGGAGGGGCAGGCTCAGGTGCTGGAGGGAGCCCTGGGCTGGAGGGATAGGGACGGCTCCAGCCACCAGAAGCCCCAGGCCAGGCCAGGCCAGGAAGGGGCTACATTTGCCAGGTGCTGTGAGGCTGTGCTGGGCAGGTGAAACTGTTACAACCTACAGCCCAGACACTGCTCCCTGCTGAGCCGGGGAAGGGGTCGGGGCAGAAATTGCTCTCTTGCAGAGGAGGAGCCGCCACCTGCTGCACTGAGACCTCTGGAGCTCATGTGAGGGATGCCAGCACCAGGGACCACACACAGATCCTGTGTGGAGGGACACAGACACAGTCAGCTCCCTGAGACACCCAGCCAGGGGCAGTGCACACAGGGTCCGCAGTGTACAAGTTATGGACTATGTAAATAAGTTCTTGATGGTTTATTAGTTGGATTATCAATGTACTTATTTATTGTGAGTAATTTGTATACTTTCCCCTAGTATAATGTGTATCCAAGAAGCATTAACCCTGAAGTCACCATCACCAGGTCATGCAGTATAACATTTGTTCTATTGCATTGGTTATAGGTTACCTTGTAAATAATTAAATCCTGTAAATAGTTGTATAGCAGTCTGGAAGGTTGTTTGATTCTAAGGGGAGGCTCTCCACTTGAGGACCCTGCAGCAGCTACCCAGGGAGCTGGGTGGGGCCACTGACTTCCGGGTACCCCAGGATCCCACAAGTCAGGTAAAGATGCAGGTAGTGTCTTACCCAGGGTTACATAGGGACCTCAGAATATGATCTGTAATAGTTAATGGACTGATTGTCTGGGGCAGGAGGTGATAAGCTGACCAGTAGGTAATGGTAAAAGATGGATGGACGCATTCTGAGTACGCACATGCAGGAGCACATGGTTCCTATGGGACAAAAAGCAGTGGCATATTCGTACTGCTGTGATCTGTCCCTTGGTATGACCCTGCACATGGGCTCTGACATGCAGCAAAGTGACATGGGAGGGGTAGGGGAGGCTGGGGTCAGCACTTGTGCTGGCCCCAGGAGCCTTACCTGGAGTCCGGGGCCTCCCAGGGCAACAGTGGCACTGAGCTGGCCACTCAGATCCTGGTCAGCAGCCAGCTCCAGTTTCTGGTGGTGCACATTGATGCTGTGTGTGCTGTGCTGCAAATTAACAGTGTGGTAAATGGGTGAATGTCCTCCGTGTGTGGTTTGTTGCATCTCAAATGGGTTTGGGACACCAAAAACAGCATGCGCACACTTGTTAGGATATGCGCGAGGTGTTTTATTTGCTCCTTTCTGGACTTTGATGCATAAAGTTGGGCTGTAGAAAGCATCTATGCAAAAGTGGAATTTACAGACTAAGACCATCTGTGGGGTTAGGTGCTTAAATTGTTCCTTTAAAAATGTAGTGAGGGCTACTTCTTTTCCTTTAAAATGTAACCAGTAGCCATGCCACCTCCCTTCTGCAATAACTTAGAGAATATTAGATAGGGGTAGTTGGACATATTATTCTGAAGTCAGGCAGAAAGCAGGGTGGTATGGCACCTCAGGGTGCATATAGTCATTTGCCTCACTAAGTCCTCACAGCCTGGGAGTGGCATGTTCAGCCATTCACTGGTGCTGGGAGCCATGCAGGCATGCCAGTGTAACTAACTTGGGTGGAGGAAGGGGCAGGTGAGATAGGTGTGGGACATGGTGGGAGCTGGCAGGTCCAAGGGGGAAGTTGCCCATCCAAGGGATGGGGGGTCAGGGGTCTAAAAATAACCTAGTCAGGGTCAGAGAGTAGGAAGAGTGCAGGCTGGGGTGAGTGGTTGGGCTTTGCCAGTCCCGGGACTGTGTTTGGAACATGTGCAGGTATTTGATAGATTGGGTTACCCTGTTCCTGATCCAATTTAGTTCACCTCCTCTGGTGAACTTAGATTAGGTCTGTCATTTTTTGCTAATTTAACCCCTCTGAATGCCTGCACAGATGGACATTTAGATTGACTAAACCCTAGTTAGGTCAATCTAAGTGTAACAACTGTACGTACCCACAAAGATTAACTTGTTCAGAAACACATAAAATCAAAGTGTAGATGGATCCCACATTTTTGGAGACACCATGCTGACTGTACACCCTCTGATTCTTGTGCTGTGCATTTCATTTACTGTTTGCCCTTTGATTTCTTTTGGATAGGAAGAAAAGGCCCACAGCTTAACATTTCTCAGTTTCCATCTAACTTTTTCTTCTTTATCACAATTATGTTGACTGCTAACAATACAATATTTGGTTCTACTATATTACTTAATTTGAGGGTAATTTATGTGAATGTAAATAGTTGACCTCAAATGTTGTGAGTAAATATGGAGTATTTGCTGTTAGTAGATAGTTCAGTTCTGGTACATTCTGGCTTAAGGATGAAATTTTAAAAATGTTGTTACTATGGTGCCACATTAATATATGAATAGTTCAGTTTAACACTTCTTTCACAGAACTAGAACTGTAGCAATTAGCTGAACTTTAGATACAAATGTGACATTTCACATCTTGGTTACAAGAATTAAAATAAAAAAAATGTTTTAGGTAATTAATTTTTTTAGTCACATTCTGAATCATCAAGATTTCAAACAATTTAAAAACCATTTGTTGGCATGGAAACATCAGCTTCATTAAAAATGGATTAAACTAATTAACCTAAAACATATCATACTATAAAATGTTTGATTTAGTATATATTAAAAAAACAGAACATTTTTCATTATCATTTTGTCTTTCATCTATTGAAAATGTTTTTGTTAGCAGAAAGTATTTCTAACTGCTATAATAACTGAGTAGATACACAAAAATAAGGACAGCATTAAAGTAGTGATAAGGGTTCCCTTTCTGAGTGAAGTACATTCCCCTGCTCTGTACAGATATTGAAACTCATATGTACCATCTATACTAAATCATAGATTTGTCTGGGTTTTTTTAATTGTCAAAACCTCATCAAGCTGCATGTTACATGAACTATTTTCATTTCAGCTGCAAAGGATTTTATGATTTGATGTACAGACACAAAGAAATACTTGGATTGTGTATAAAATGATTATTAGAATGGCAAAATAACCTGTGCTCCCAAGCTAAAATGATAAATTACAATATAATATATTAAAATAATTAGAAAAAATAATAGCTTTAATACCTACAAAAAAGAGGGAAACATCTTTAAATACTTCTTTCCATACCTTCCATCATTTCATGTCAGACTTCATTTAAGTTAATGCTTTGTTCAGCAAACAGTTACTTCTGCATATGCACCTTTTGTTGACTGCGGAGATTAAAGTTGTAGGTGAAATTTTCAGTGAGTTATTACAATGAGCTATTCCAGGCATCTAAACTGACATCAGCAATTACATCATTATTATCTTGGTATGTATGATATGTTTCAATGGAACTATGGATGGATTCTGTATTTGCCACACTGGCTTCATAGGAATTTCAGTCTGTTTTGCAAACCTGCAAATTGATGCACATGGAACCAGACATACACAACAATGCATATCCTCTGTATGGCACTTAGTGCATCTAGACACACAGGAGCTGGAGTTCAATTTCCTAAACCATTTTACAGAGTTAAGATTTTAGTCAGGAGTATAGGCTCAGGTCTCACATGAATGTAGAAATAAATTTGTCTATTTTATTTTATTTTATTTTATTTTATTTATTTTATTTAGAATGGGAGAGTTTAATAGAACACAGAGATGGTGAATTAAAACAAACTACAATCTGTGAGGTGAGTAGGTTTTGCCTAACGTTAAACAACAGTTCTTTATAATAGAAACCATGTAATCCAAAAAACAAGTGCCTTTTCATTCAAGTACAGACCTTAGCTAATGTCAAAATGTCATATCTTTAGCATGTCGTTTGACTATAAATGCAGAGTAAAAAGGGGGGAAAAACCTCAATGCTGGTTGAATTCTTGGATTTCACTCCCCGATTCTTCTTACTTTTCTTATTCCCAGCTGGGGGTTGCACAGAGATAGAAGGCTGAAGTCATATTTAAAAAGTATAAATATTGCAGTACTCTCTGGGGTGGTTATAGATGCTTGTCCCGAAACACTAGGGTTTCATTTATAGCAGGATGTGAAAGAATCTTCTTTCTTCCACAACTCAATGTCAAGCTTGCCATTCAGCCCTTAATGTGGCACGTAGTAAATGCTGCTGTGCCTAGCAGGTGGCCCGAGGGTTCTCTGTCAGCATTTTTGTCATGCACTGCAGGAACACTTAAAACCATTCATACAATTCTGAGGACTCAGAACACTTTAATATTGCTTTGTGACTCTACTTAGAATATAAATACCAGTGACCTTTTCAGGAAAAGAAAACTTTTTAAAAAACATTTTCACCTTTCTGTTCCATCAGTAAAATGATGTAGGTACTAAAAAAATTTTTTTTAGCCTAATGGTTCCTTCCTCTCCCTGCTAACCTAAGACTTCAATGGCTTCAGCATACATTGTCTGAAGACTCATAAGAGAAATTCAACTGGCAGAAAACAAAACAAAAGCATATTCAAAAGGGCATGGGTCTAAGCAGCAGCAGCATAGCCAACCTTATCAAACCCTAGGAAAGTTCAGATCAGGATTCAGAACGACTGAGGCAGCCATTGTAATTCAGATCAGGATTCAGAACTGAACATGATGACTGCTTTACTCTTCTAATTGAGGAATATTACTGATCTTTGGGAAGGCTAAAAGTGGACATATGACCTAGATGTCAATATTTGTAGTAACATTTTCAAAAATGCTCAAAAGACTTAGGAGCATAAACCCTACCTTTGAAAGGGCAAGCATGTAAAGAGATTTTTTTTCAGTTTAGGTACCACGGGGTACAGATAGACACCATACTGGATCTTCAAGCATACTTAAGTAGGTCTAGATGCTTGTCCATCTGGTCCTATGTACCTAAATCATATTAACATTCGTTTTTGGTAGTAGGACTTATGCTTCTAATCTGTTAGGTAATTTTGAAAGCTGAGGTACTGGAGTGGGGGGAAAAAGGCCTTTTGAGTATATCTGAACCATGTCCTGAGCATGCCAAAGTAAGAGAGTATCCCCAGTGGAGCTTTACCAAATTGAGCATTTGTGAACAAGAGTGGGTAAGCAGGGCATGCTCAGGAACATCTCTCCTCTCATTCTTGAGCTCATCCTCACACTGAATGCAGAGCAAACTCTTTTTCATGATAGAGAATTGAATGCTAATTCTAATTTTGGAATGGGAACTTCAGGGATTTCATAATGGTGTACATTCAATATCTATATCCCTAAGAAGTGACTGCATGTTTATAAAAGGTCACTGAACACATTTATGTCACTGTGTATTTTAAGGCTCTGTGCTTCAGGGGAAAAAATGTTTCTTTTTCTGGCCAGCAAAATAACTGCTGAGATGTTAAATATCTTTTGAATACACCTCAAAGTTACTGAGGCCAAAATTTCTTGGCAAACAGCTAGTGGATAGATGTGGCTTCTGCTAGAGAACAGGCAGATTCTGCATCTTACCCATTGTGGGCATGCTACAAGGATACCATCCTTATATAGGGATCTTTTTTACCACTCCATCTCAAATCTGACCTTTCTTTCCTTTTGGATATGAGGTTGTGAGGGAAGGAAGAAGACAAGCAGAAAGTTAAAAACAACAATATAATGTAAATCTATTGTCCCTTTAGCTTTTCAGACACTAACATTTAATCAGAGGTTAAATCTCCATAATTTAAATATTTGAAAACATGCTTCCTTTCCTCCCACAGGCACCAGGTCAGCAAGGCACTAAGCTTAAGTATATGAATAGTCCTATTCCCTTCAGTGTGGTTCGCCATGTTTCAAGAATGGGGACATGCTGAGATGCTTGCTGACCTAGGGTTTTATCCCACATTTTGTTTTTATTCTATACAGGTACAACCTATAATAAACAAGTGAAATGGTTTTGAATGTTTGTAAATGAAGACTATTATAGATTTTAATCACACGGTATGAGTCAACATACTGTTCAAGAACATACTATTCTTTATCTTTGATAAGGCTAACTCCTGCTTCATTGTATTAGGCACAGTACTATTCATAGCAAGAGACTCTCCTTTCTTGGAGTACCTTACAATCATATAAGATGTCGAAATCCTTATCTTATGTTCCTAAAACCTTTAAACTTTAGGAACATATTTTGATATGAAAATTTTATGTGGCTTAATAATGCCCTCCTCTCAAGCTGTACAATACAGACTCATTCCTCTATGAGACTCCATGATCCATGTTAATAACAGTCAAATCTGGAGGTTTCATTCACAGTAAAGCACTGGCTGAACCCAAGCAATTTCCAGCAGTCATCGTCAACATAAAAGGGAGGGGTAAGGTGGAGTGAAAAGCATAACTGTTCCAGAATGCACAAACATCTGGCTACACAGTCTCTTACCCTTTAGAGGTAGATAATAAATTACATACCATTCTTTGGATACAGATGAGAAACTCTGGGATACAATATGCCTCCCTGACACACAGTACTTCCCAATACTCCCTATGCATTGCCCTTATTCTAGGCTCTGTGCTAAAAGCTGTTATTAATAGGTTAATAAATGTAGTGCCTTGACAATTCATTAGTTTGCACTGACATTGCACAGGTTCTACTGAGGATATAATAGGGATTAACGTTTCCCATCTTATGACATTTGAAAAATCTGCTCAGGCATACATATTCAAGACCAAAGAAATAAATACCTGTGCTTTGGGGAACAAATCTCAGTCCCTTTGAAGTCAAGAGCCAAACTTCCAATGGCTTCAGTGGCAAAATAATTTAATCCTTAGTCACTTAACTACATATGGAAGAGAAAGCACAGTACAACTTACAAGTAACATTATTAATCAGTCTGATTTGGTCGGAATTCAGCTGTAATGCATGTTGCTCTTTTAAGGGGAATGATTTGCACAGACAACTGCAAGGAAAAGACATAATGTTGCCAGAAGCTCACTGTCTGATGTCAGGACAAATTTTATGTTAGCATCTATGGCTGACAATGCTGGGCCTTTTGCTGAAAAATCTATATATTCTTGTACAGGGATTGTCTTTTTAATAAAGTGTCACTGTGCTGAGGGAAGGAAATCTCTTTTAAATTCTCTTACTTTATATAGCCTTACTTTTTTTAAAATGAATTTAATATAACTGGGGGGGGAGGGGTTTCCCTTCCTGAAGTCCCTCATTCTGTTATTTTGTTTATTCATATCCCTTAGGCAAGTAGTAGACAGTCAGAAGTAATCAAAGAATGAATGGAAAAATGCAAATGACCATTTTAGAAGTCTTGCTATTTTCTAAACTTTATCTTGTAATTATACTTTTGTTCTGATTTTATGATGATATTACATTGTTATTTTTTCTATTTCAGTGAAGCATTTGAACATTTGAAGTCAGTTAGCAAAATGACTTGCAATAATTGAAGAAGAAATGACAGATTTCTAGATTTCTTTATGTAACTTGACTATTCTGGAGATCCTTATTCAATCTACCATTTGTTTATCCAAGTATTGACAGTTTTCTACATAAAATACAAATTGAACACTGGAAGAAGATCAACGGATATAAATGGATCTGCTAATCTTTCTTGGAATATAAGAGAATTCTGTTACAAAAATCTGAAATACTAAAAAATTGCATTGGTGAACAATGAATTCTAATGCATTGTGTGCCACTCAAATTTTATAATACAAAATGATACAATGAAGGTTTTATGATACAAATGAAGCCAATTATCCTGTATCAACTGCACCCTATGCCAGGGAAGAGCAATTATTTCGGGCAGAGGGCTGCTTACTGAGTTTTAGCAACCATCAAAGGCCACATGGCAGGCAACCAGGGACAGATGAATATTAATTTTCGAAATTTTTTAGGTGCCCCGCAGGCCAGAGAGAATGGCTTGGTGGGCCACATCCGGCTCCCTGGAGACAGCAATGACAGCACAGAGGGGGCAGGGGGATGTCGAATGAGTGGGGGTTCCCCTAGCAGCCAATCACTGAGCTAGCAGCAAAACCAGAAGTGCACTTCTGGTGGCACTTCTGGTTTCACAGCTGGCACTTCCAGGGGATGTATGGCCAATCTCAAGGGGTACATGTGCACCTGCGTTCACCCCCTATGCATCACCACTGACTGGCCCTTACTAAGGTGTTTGGTGCAGGGGGATGATGCTAAAGTCACATACTGATTACCTCTCCCCACCTACCTGATCAAGGGGAATCCAATCCCCACTCACAGGCCAGGTATAAACATTATACATTAACTGGTATAAATAATTAGAAACTAATCTATACCTATAACAGAATAGAGGTTCGGCACACAGACTAGTTTAAAAATGGTGGAACACAATTTAAGGTTTGCTCCCCACCACCAAAGGGCAAATATGTGTTCCGTTTGACATTAATCCAAACTACACAGCTTACAGAAAACCATATAACTTAGATCTATTCCACCTGGGGCTTTTTTAATGTCTGTACCTAGCCATAAGGACACAATAGGAGGACCAGCAACTTGCTGATCTTTGTATCCTTGTGAAGGCATGTATTCAAGTTGAAGATCTGCCTCTGAGTAAATATACAGAAAAGTTATGTGAGTTATTGTTATTAATTTACACTAACGTGATTTCTGCCATTGTGACATTTTTCACATCTGGATGCACTTTATATTCCTGAGGTTGGTTCTACTAATATCTCTAAAAATGCTGAGCAAAAATAAGCTAAGTTGCAGAAATATCTAGAAAAA